GGTCTCAATGGTTAGGGTAGAAACCTGTTCATCAGAGAGAACTTCCTGAAACTTTCTTCTTTGCTGTTGGTGAAAACTTCTCTGACAGGCATGTGTGAAAATTGTGTGCTGAATCTGTAGTGATGAGCAGTAATTTGATCAGCTAGAAGAATTCTTTCCCCATGAAATGGAATTTCCTCAGGTGTAAGATGAGCAAGTCTGTAAATGGGCATCCATGCAGCCCAAGAGGCAGAGGCTTGTTAAGAAGTAAAACAAAATCAGTAACTGTTGTGATATTCAAGTGAACTGGAAAAATGCCTTGTAAAATGCCTTGTAAAAATGTATCAAGAGGCAGTGTGAAAAACCATGATCATAAAGAACTTACAGACAAATAATGGTGGAGTGGCTACATTTTCAATTTAACAATGCATGTTGCATGTCCAGTGTCAGTTTGCAAGCACATCTGAAGGCAGAATTCGGACCTTCATGATTTATCTTTATTATGTTACCTGTAGGAGTCACTGAGAGCAAAGAAGTCACAGATGAGTTTGTGGTGGTACCAGGGATCTTTAGTGAAAACTGCTGAGACTTCTAAGTCAAGATCAAAGAAAAGAGTCAAACAAAGGGAACAAGCACATCTGATCAGGAATGATGGTTTCTATCTGAATTAAGACACTATTCCAGTAATTGGGAGAGGCAGGCAGTGTCTTTCCTTGGCTGCCCAGTTAGAGCATCAGAACACTGAGCCTGAGCAGCACTGGGGCTATCAGCTGATACCAGTTATGCCAGGGAATAAGGAGGCAAGTAAAATGCAGAACAATGCCTTAGAATCATTCACCTTTCCCAAATAGGAATATTTTTAAGATAATCTTTTTCATGTCAAGGGATATCGAGTTTTTTAATAGATTTATAAGAATATATTTGCTTTCTGAACTTTGCCATCAGTCCTGTCTCACATCTGGCATAGAACAGAAGTACAATTAAATGTGGCAGGAGTAGGAGGAGGTGAAGACCACGATGCTACAGCCCTACAGCAACATTCTCTTCTTATGTGACTGTCTATATATGCTTCAGAAAGAGTTGGTGGCCACTGAGTTAGCTAGCTTGGACAAGTATCCAGACAGTAAATACTGAGAAAAAAAGCACATTTTCTTCTGGTTTATTTGAAAAATCACTTCATGTTACAGAATATTCAATGCTGAACTGTGCTTTACCCTCAAGCAGACTTGCAGTTTTGGCTCCTAACTTCTTGTTCATTCAAATGGTAGTTTTTGTTTTGTTTTGTTTTGTTTTTTTTCCTAAAACATTTCCATCTCTGGCACCTTCTCAATGTAGTCTGATGCTTGTCACAGAGGTATGACTTGTGGGATTGAAGTCGTAGGAGTTCAAGTCCCACGGGTCCTACTTCTGGGACAGAGTATGTCTTACTGAGGAACAGTATGCTGAGGAAAGCTAGAGGGTTACATAGTCTAGCTGGGAAACACCTCATGCTCTGGTATTTCCCTTTATTTTTGCCCTGGCTCCTTTGCCTCTATTTTTAATTAGTGGCACATGCTGAAATTATAATTTACATTCTTTTCAGAAATCAAAAGAATTCCCACTGACAACATTATTAAGTTGGAATTTGAGCCAAATATCTTACCTCCATTAAATGAGAACTTGACTGAACCTGTTTCCCCTTCATTTTGGTAGGTTACTCTGACTTTGAATGGGTCTGGGATGGCTGTAGACCTGCACAAAGGGTCACTGCAAGGCCAAACATCTGCCCCCTGACACCATTTACACAGAGTTTGCTTGCCCAATACACAAGAGAGAATCTGACAGTCACAGAGGACACCTCTTGAACTGCTGGAATAAAGGCATGTATTTTGACTATAGGCAGAACATAGTCACGTGGGGGGGATATTTGTGTGAGAAAGATATGTAGGAGGTAGCAAAGGAAATTTATTGAGTATTGGTGGAGGAAAACTAATTAGGTTCCTGGGCTACAGCATACAAACAAAGCCTTTTCCTTCACTCATGCTGAGCGCCACATGCATGCAGAATCATATGTAAATCTCCCTTAATCTAGCAAGTGTTTTGCATTTTCAATGAAATGAGAGAGGAGGAAAAAGAAACATTTTCCTCTATATTAGAGGTAAGCATGCCCATCAACAAGAGAATTATGGCAATGATTTTGCATGTAAAAGTGCATTTTAGGCAACTGTAGATTTTGGGAAAAAAAAAAATCCTCATGCTGGGCACCTGCAAGGTGAGCCTCTGTGCTTCCCAGCACTGCTCTGCACTGTGCAGATAGATAGACCCTAGATAGCCAGCCTGGTCCAGTATTAAACGGGGAGGTTGGTGACCCTGCATGTGGCAGAGGGGTTGGAGATTCATGATCCTTGAGATCCTTTCCAATCCTGGCCATTCTGTGATTCTGTGATAATCTGTTTAAATGCAGTCATGCCCGGTACAGTTGCAGCTGGAGCCCCATATGGCAAGAGCTTTCCCTCTGAGACTGGATTGTATGCCTGGTGTTTCTTTCTTTTTCTTTTTCTTTTTCTTTTTCTTTTTCTTTTTCTTTTTCTTTTTCTTTTTCTTTTTCTTTTTCTTTTTCTTTTTCTTTTTCTTTTTCTTCCTTTTTTTTTTTTTTTTTTTTTTTTTTTTTTTTTTTTTTTTTTTTTTGCGCTTTTAAGCTGTAACGTGTTGCTTAAACTGTGGCGTACCTCAAAGGCAGACCTTTCCCCCTTCCCAAGTTGCATGCCATGCAGTCCTGCAGTCCCCTCACACATCTTGCACAAGCGTTTCTATGGCTCAAGCCCACAGCCTTCACACACACAAGCACTCCCGCAGACTTCCTCTTCTCTGTAATCTCTACTCAGATCCAGGGTCCTGCCTGCAGTAACTGCTCCAGAACTACCTCAGGGTTGGCTCTCCCTGGGCCCCCTGCTACATAAGCCTGGAAATTGGTCCTTCTCTCCATCAATCCTCTCCCACTCCTTGTGCCAACCCGTAGGATCCTGGAAAGCTCAGGTTCCCCTCTCAAAAATTAGTGCAGTGCCCAATATGAGCCCAGCAGAGCAGAGGAGCAAAGGATGCTCCTATCATGGTGCACATCCTTGCTGGGACATCTCTGCTCTGAACAGCCATGAGACTTTGAAGCTGCCCAAGCCTTTACCAGCGACCTACAGAGAGCTCTGAGGACTGACCTCAATTGCTTCCTGCACAGAGTTGAACTCTGCTCTCAAGGACGACTTTGGAGAGCTTACATAACCATCAGCAAAGGATGCACTTCAGGATCCTTAATAAAGTTTTCCTGGCAAGTTGTTTGCTTTTTCTTTTTTTTTTTTTTCCTTTTTTGTAAGTCAATACTCTCTAGCTTTCCTGGGGCTGGACATTTTCAGGTCTGCCCAATTACATGCTGTACCAAGTTTGGTGCTTGAGTCTCAAAATATATACCAACCTCTGGTTTCTTAAGAAAGCATGGAAAAGTCTGTCATATTTTAGTAGAGGAGCTCCAGAATATTTTGCTCTTAACTCTGTTGGTCCCCGATCTGATGGTCTTCAATGAAGAAATAAGTTAGCTAGAATTTTGGGAGAAGAGCAGTTTGGCACAAAAAATGCATAAAGCCTCCCACCGGCTGAGGCTGACCTGGACTTCATGTCACCACAGATGTACCTTGAGCCCACAGTGTCCCATGTTTGGTCTTGTGCTGTGCTTTTTCAGCTTTTCAACAACTGAGGATGTTGAGGCTACTTACGGTGTATGCAACACTCTATTCCTTACTTATCTGAGTGTGCTGGAAAAAAACCTTCTTGGCTAGATTGTTGCCTAGAACACTGCCTAAACACTAAAGACAAATAAGATTAGGAGACCATATGGGTTTAAGTAAAAAAAGAACACACTTTATTTATCTACAAGGCAGTACATTGTCGTATAAAAAATTAAGTGCAGGTGAAGCTGCACCAAATGCTATTAAGGCAGCAAATTCAAAGGCTGTTACTTAAAATAAAAAAAAAAAAAAAAGAGGACAATTAAAAAAAATAAAATAAAATCAGTGTTTTGCCATACCGATAAAGATTTGGTATGGCAGTACAAAGAACCATGTATTTCTAAGAACCTGATTTAGTACGTGAGACCCAAGGTAGGGAACAATTAGCTAGACATGGAACAAAACAGATAACACGAACAAGACAGTGTTCTCCCAAACATATGAAGGTGCAATGCATGCTGTTACGAACCAATGTGAAACAAAACCACACACTGAGACAATTAAAAAAAAATAATAATAATCTCCCAGGAACAGTGTTTAAAAATATTGCTTATTAAAAAAAAAAAAAAAAAAAAAAGGGCGGGGGGGAATATAAATGATGTAAAAAAAAATTAAAATAAAAAAGTCTGAAATGCTAGTGCATAGTCAATTAGCTAACATCAACATTTGTTTTCTTCCCATATAAAGCTCTACTGCTCCTTTTACACTAGCAGCATGTCTACACGCTAAGGTCTTTAGCAGCAAAACACAGTATTCATTTGGCATTTACAAAATTAAATTACTGAATAAAAATATAATTTTTCTTATAAATCTATGTTTCATACAGTAATATTTTTTTAAAGCAAGCTAATTAACCCCCCAACAGAAACACACAACGTATAATGGCCTAGAACCATAAACAGAATGAAAGAGTATTTCAAGAGGAATGGATGTCTGAGCATTCACAAACTGGATCAGTTTTCCCTCTTTGCACAGACTAGCGCGTGTAGTAATGCTTTTTTACTTCAATATTTTACACCAATGCATTTTGTTCAGTGATTTAAAATACATCTGTTTGAGTACCTGCTCTGTTATTGTAAAAAAATAAAAAACAAACAAACCCCCACCCCTGGATAGCACATCACTGAAATAACAATACTGGTGTATCACGTCTGCTTGATCTCAGAAAGTACAAAAAAAAAATTGCCTGTATTGGAAGTCTGCACTTAAGATCATTAATTACTGATTAAAACTTTGTACCTAATAATTTAGGCAAGTATCATTCATTCACTCAAAAAAAAAAAAAAAAAAAAAAGAAAATTCTCTTAAGTTGGGTGAAATCCAACAAGAAAATATATGCTCAGTGACTAAATGCACTTCGTGCTCTCCCAACTGTTGTACCACAACAAAGATAGGCTCGTCTCCCATTCACGAAAAGTCCTCATGCAGAGGAACAGGGACTTCCCAGTGAACGAGGAGTGTTTGCCAACCATAATGCTTCTCCGGAGAAGTCCGTCGGCCCTTTCACATCACCAGAGTCCGGGTTGGGAATGCGGCCATGTACTTGCGTGCCTGGTCGGTCAGGGCCATCTGGTCCTCGGTTTTCCCGCAAGACGCCGACTCCCAAGCGTTGTTCAAATGCTATGTTGGAAACAAGAGGAAAGATTTGGGGTGGACGTCAAGGCATTTGTTTGTGGGCCCCCAGCTGCAAACCTGGCAGTAGGTATCGAGCAAGCCTGCACTAGGGTGCTGTGCCAGCTCCAAAGAGAGGGGCCCCTCAGAACAACAGGAAAAAAGCTACATCCCTGCATCTCAGCTTGTGACTGCAGGGGTGGGCAACCAGACCAGCCGCACAACAGCACACCAGCAGAGCCAGGATTCAGTGGCTCTCAAGTTCCCACTCACAGTTTATTCTCTCTAAGTCCATACTAAGGACTCTGACGACCCGAGCACAGCGAGCAAGCAGCTCTGTGCCCGAAGCTGCTTTCACCTGCGTGGAGCAATTAGCATGTGCCTGTGAGCAGAGCTCCTCTGGCAACAGAGGAGACGTGGGGGGACCCTTGGCAGAAGCAGGATTTTAATTATCAAGAAAGCCATTTTGCTTCTTGTGGTATTTATGGAGGTTAGAGACACCATTTAGTATAATGTTAAACTGAGATAAACATATCTGCACAGAAGGCTGTGCACAGTCTGTTTATTTACTCCCTACACATACAAGATGTTTCTCATTGCCTTAAGCTATAAACAGTAATGAAATTTCAAAGCTCCTGGAACTTACCAGTATTACACACACACTCATATACGTGTATTGTTTTTTGTGCTTCAACTCTTTCAATTACTCAGTTTATTTGTTTTTCCACATTGAGATATTCACTAAACCCTGAATAAAAACCATATTAGATACAGACAGCTAAGCATAAATTCCAAAAATGTGCATGACCGTGCTCATGAAAGCTGCCTGCCAGCAAGGGGTTCATGGGACCCCTCAAGATTAAGAAGGTCTAAGCCCAAGATCCACCAAGAAACACAAGTCAAGAGAAACCTTTCCCTGCTTTCCTCTACTTTCAACAAGGTTAATCTTTGCAGCTCAAGATCTACATCACTCAATGAGGTGGCCAAAGCCTTCTCAACACTTAGGGCACCAAGCAAGTGTACTTACTGAACTGCAAACTGGCTGCTAAGAACAGAAGCACCCCAGGATGCCCATGGTTCTTTATGCTGCTCCTTCTAGTTGCTAACCGTGCAAGAGGATCCTTAAAGTATCCTCCTGAAGAATGCTCTTCGGGTTGTAAACAGTGTTATCCAAAACATGTGCAGTCAGAAGGCAGCATAGGAAGTGCAGATAATTTCATTACAGGCCCTAATCAGGGCACTGCTACACAAGGACAGAGGTTCTCTGCTCTGGAAGGCTTGCAGCCTAAAATGGATAAAAGCAGTGAATGAGCTGTGTGACCATGGTGGGGAAATGCAGGTTAGTCCTCGGGTTCCCCAGACATAGCTCTCTCTTATCTGTAGACAAGTTCCAAATATTGTCTCTGCTACTGATGCCTTTCTGCAGGCTGAACTCCTGCTCAGTTTCAGTAGGAGTTCCCTGTGTAAAGGAGAAAAAGGTCCAGCCTCAACTCATTAGTTTCTACAGCTTTTTGTGGGAAACCCGCATCTGTGAAATGAACAAACACACAGCTACCTCTTACAAAAGTGGTTCAGCCTGGGCAGCTTGTGCTGTGAGCCTTGGGTGCACACTGCAGCCAAAAGCAGGTGTGACATACTTTTTGCATATGACACGCCACAGATTCTTTTATACTTCAGTTAAACAACTCCCAGGGTAACTTTTTCAAAGGTGCCTACATCAGCTGGCAACCCACAGTCTCCTACTGATCCTCAGTGGGACTTGGGCACCTGCAAATACTTTCCCTTGCTATTTTAGAGGCATTTGCATCAGGGACCAAAGTAATTGTTGCCACAATGCCATCGGTTTTGCTTAGAAGTCAGGTACGGTCTGTCCATCTCAAAAGCAATTGGCAACTACAAAATATCCATCATTTTGAGGCAGAGAAATATGTGTCCATTCAGTACTTCCCTGTGACCTTTCAAAGCTTCAAAGTAACTGGTTAAGAGAAGTTAGAGCAGCAGAACCCTAGGAAACTGTAAATATGTAAGGGAAAGCCCATCCATCCCTACACGCCAGTTTTTAAAAAATGGAAGTAACTTGAGGCAAGTAGTGTCCCAATTTCATTAATTACATTTCATTGTTAGTACCTACACTGAGCTCTTTGTATTAACAGCCATGTGCTTAGGAAAGAAAAAAACAAAATCCCCATCCCGTATCTCCCACATCTCAGCAGGCTGCTGCACGTCACTCCTTCCACCTGAAGCCTGCTCCTCACTCTGCTATGCCAGAGGCGTAGCAGACGCTGCACGGGCTGCAGCCCCCTGTCCTCCCCTCAGAGCCAGCTGACCCCGCTGCTCCCTGGGGGAGCAGGGTCCCCAGCACACGTCTGCCCCAAACTTCTTACTCAAGCTCTCCTGGAAAGACAGCACAGGACAGTCCACATTACTCAATTTTGACCCTGGTAGTATTTTCCCAGAAATCCATTACACTATTTTTTTTTTTCCCCCTTCTCTTCTGGGACAATTTACAATGCAAATTTACAGCTTACATTGAGCTCTCATTGAAGACGGTGAGAGCTTGGAGAATACAGAAGGATTTGACCCAAAGTAGTGTATTCACTACAGCGGCGTATTTCAATTTTACCCTGGGGAATTCGGGTAACATTTACAGTAGGTATTTTTAATAAGCTTTTCCCATCCGAAGCCTTGGCTCCGAGCAGTGAGCACATAACAAAGCACAATGCCTTGCCTTGCCAGCCCTGCCGCGCGGCACTGGAGGCACGTGTGAAAGTCATCTGAAGGCGAGAGATTCGACTGCCGCTCTTGGCAGCGAGCGCTGGGTCCCATGACTGATGCACAGCATGTTGCCTGGGCTGAACATCCGCAGCTAATGGATCGCTTAGCAAAAAGGGAAAGCAAAACTGGAGGCTGAGAAGCACGGCGCTTCCTTCCATGCCAGAATCTCGGTGAGTATTGACAGGACTCTGCTACTGGAAAGCATCACTGCCCTGCAGACAGCAGCATTTCCAGGACTTATGAGAAGAGAGGAGACCCGGGCAAATAGCTTGGGGTACACAGGAAAACAGCACAGAAACAAAATTGATATGTTCCTTGTGGAAAACACTCACTGTGTCTCCCCTATTGCTCTGCAAATCAGTGGATGAAACACAAAAGCTATGTAATTAGAAGCCAATTGGCTTGACCCAAACTCACTGACACTGATAGGTGTGCTTTCATTGATTCAGTGGATTCATTCCATTTCAATTCAGCCATCTAAGAGTGGGGTGTTCCCCTCTTAGCCAGTGGGGAAAGAACGAGACTTCTGTGGTATGATTAATTCCATATATGTCTTCTATTGGCTGAAAGAGCAGAACACTACTCTTAATTTTGCTATTAATTAAAAGAATTTAAGCCTTCTCTGCCAGTATTTCCACAGCTGCATTTTGCTCTTCCATGCACAGCAACTTCTTAAGTTACAACTGGGACTCGTGAAGAAGCAGCTATGCTACTGTGAGTTCCCATAGCATAAAATCACAGACCTCCAGTCTTTTCCTGATGTGTCATTCTCACTGCTTCATTTTTTTTAACCTCAGTAATCCCCTCAGCACATCCTTCTCCTGGCAGTGGGACTACCTCACTTATCCTGCAAGGTACCTTCAGCTGCCCTTGGGCAGATGTGAGCAGCAGTACAGACTGTTCAACTGGGATATCCAGTTAAAGCACTTTAAATAAAAACCTGGACCATCTAGAGAAAACAGAACCGTAAGGAAAGAAAACCTCATGGAAATTTGCTCTTTGGACTTTAATTAAAATAGCCAAAATGTTTTCAACATCTAGAAAGCTCAGACTACCAGAAGGTATCTCAGACTTTTTCCCTATTGCAAAAAGCTGGCCTTCTGGCTAAATAATCTGCAGCACATGCCACAGAAAAGGTGGCTTAGAACACAAATGTAGAATTCTTTCCTTTGCAGTGAAGTGATCAATGCCATAGCTCAAAACAAAGCATTTTCCTTGCACTATGGTAAAGTATCATCTGGGACAATTTGGTTTTCTACTCCATGAGGATGAGAAAAAAGGAAGCCCTCCTAGACCAGTTAACTACTCCAGTCCTCTACTCCATTTGAGAAGGCAAAGCACCATTCCTGTTCCTCTGAGGCATGGGATGGTGTTTTCCTAAATTCTGAGGTTTCTGCCCATTTTCAGAATTACAGCTTGCTACATGTGTGAGAATAGGATGGCCCAGCTCCCCAGCTTTTATGATAAGTCTGACATCAGTGCTAGCAGAGCCACTTGGTGGCACATTTAAGAGCTTAACTCTGAAGCCCTTCATTAGACAAAACCCATGATCAAAATGTATGAGCTTTCTAAGATTAATGCGAGAGATATGGAAATGGTCTGAGAACCTGCAACTCACATTAGGATATTCAACACCTTTCTAATTGTGACCTTAAGTAATTTTATTTTATTCACAAATCAGAACACGTTGCAAATGGCTGGTAGTCAAATGGTCCATTTTCTGCAACAGCTCTGCAGCTTCTCAAAGCAGAGACCTTTGCATCTGCAGCAGGCAGCTACATCTGCTGAGTTGTTCACAACCTAAATTCTGCTGCTCTGGGAGGAAAGCACCCAATGGCTGACCTGTACTTCTCAACCACCTTTTGCTTCTGTCACTTATGCAAAGCACAGAACATGAGAGAAAGGATAACACCCATAGGGGACAAACTCAGGGCTACTTCTCTTTCCAGTGAAAATCTTGAAATTCCCAGGAATTGAGCACAGCGTGTTTCCCCCTTTCCCCTTGATTAATCAAAGAAGGGAATAAGACTATGTGACCCTCTTGCTCCTCAGGAGTCACAGAGAGGAGTAAAAGAAAGGCTCCACTTGAAATGTGCTGATGCAGGAGGGTGTGCTGCCTTGCCCGTAAGCACTGTCTAACAACAAGCTGCAAATGAAATTCCACAATTCTTTTTTAACTGAGGAAAATAAGATAATGACAGCTCACGATCATGAAAAGGTTAACCAAGTAACTGTTTTAAAATCCTTTAGACTTACTCTTTAAAGAAAAGGGTTACATAAACCACTGAAAGTCAGGAAATTCGAGCTGAAACGTGTCAGTCTGTGGTTAAAAAATGGAAAGTGACAGGAGCTATGGGTTTAAGAACATTCTCTTTAGCTTGCAGGTCTTTTACCCTGCGTTGTTTCCTTTGTTAGTGGGGGAAGAAGATATCAAAGCAGTGCTATTTTCTTAAAAGGTTCCATTTCATGGTGTCTTTTGATAGCCCGCAGGGTTAGGTGGATGGCCTATGATTTAGCCTACTTTTCTAACTGTTAAAATGTCTATGTTAGGATAGTTTGTATTGTGCACTGCTACTTGTGTCACTGGCTACAGAACATAATGTGAAATAAAATGTAACTTTTAGACAGGAACAGCCAGGAACATCATTTTTATGTAACCTCTTGGTGCAGTTCAAGCGAAACTCAGTACAGATCTTCAGTCTGCCTCAATAAGGTCTTCAGACATTATCCCAAAATCTTAACCCTTGAAGAATTTCTTGACGAAGCCAAGATCTCTGCAGTGAGACTGAGTATAGTTTGAGTGACAAAAATGTAGGATACTGGTTGCAGCTAGCTCCAACAAATATAAAACAAAAGTACTTGGGATTCATGCAATGCACTCTAAGACCAGTTCCACCCTAAGACAACACAGTGGGATGGCGAGACATCTCCTGTTCCTGACAGTAAAAGAACATCCCATACGCAACCATGAGATTTACTGTGCAGGACAAAAGTGCTGGCTGAATCTTCATATCTTACCAGAAAAACCCTACATACAGATGCTAATACACCCAACATTTTATGAAGAGGGGAACAAACAAGAGTGTAAACCCAAGTTTCTCTACTGTTTTTCTCTCTTGCACTAGTGCAAAACTGATAGCACCCTATTCCCAGAGTGGTTATATCCAGCTACCTGTCTTTGCATGCCAAATGCTGTGACATACTGTTCCTCCCAAGTTGATGGTGAATCACGATGTATTCATCAGCAACTATTTACCAAGTTGTGCATGACCAGCTCTACATCCTGAGAGTTTGCATGGAACATCTGTAACTAACAAGACTCCAGTGAGTTTGTGGCCAGACACGTGCCTTTTTCTTTAAGTACAGGCAGTGAAAGTTACTAAAGCAATGAAAAATACTGCAGACTTATAAACATACTACTTCCCTCTTACAAAAGTTTAATTTTAAAAAACAAAATAAAATTTTAGGAACAAATTGTATTAAAAGCATAACTGTGGGGGGAAAAAGAAGTGTAGCTCATTCTCTCTGCTCTCTCTCTCTCTCTTTCCCTTCTCCATGCACACAGCCGAAGGAGGAAAGAGTGCTGTAATTCTTACTTGGACTAGAGTCAATTAAATTTGCTTAAGTCAGAAAGGTTGGATCAGACCCAAAGTATTAACAACAGCAATGTAAACATACACAGACACAATTATATTTCACTCCGAAGAGTTCTCTAGTGTTTCATTTCTACCTGCGTGGAATCAATGGATTGAGTCCAATATTTATACGTGTCCGTGTGTGTGTATGCCTATCTGTATATGGGCAACACAACAAATTATGAATCAGAAAGTGTAGAATGATAACATGCTAACATCTGATCCATGCAAAATGCTACAAGTCAAAACTGAAGCACAAATGCCAGCATTTTCAACCGCTTTGCACCCTTTAGACAGGTCATGTCCTCTCTATAGGTGAATGGGGAAAAGCATTAGGGGCACAGCAGTAGTATATCCCTTTTGGCATGCATCAGACCCAGATCGTGGCTCCTTTCTGTACTGTACAGAACCAAATACCCCTCTGATGTGAGACCAAGCAAGTCTTACAGCAGAGGAAGCAGATGCTCCTTCCTAACCAATGACACCAAGTCCAGCACAGACAGCACAGTGAGGGACAAATGATACAGCACTGTTACAAAACGCCTGTGTTTTATTCTGAAAAAACTGTCTATGCCACAGACACAGTTACCTCTAGCCTCATTTTTGCTTACATTTCAGCTGAAATGCTCAACGCTTCCTCATCAGCAAAGAGGGTTACATATTGGTACACCAAGAAGCTGAATCTAAGCATTCATTTTGGGGCTTCTTACAACTGCTTTGTCTTTTGGTTCAACACTTCTTAAGCACTGAAATGAGATGGAAAGTTCTTCTTAACTCAGCTTCTACTCAAGGAAAAGTCCTCTTTATCCAAACAAAAAGGATATCTGACTTCTAACATGCAAAACTAAGGACTTTTCCTGACCAAGGAGTAAAGAATGGGATCCAGAACAACCTACAACCTGACTTATGTAAACTTCCTGACCAAAATCAGCGTAAGTTAGAAGAGAAGGTTAAACAAGCTCTTTCATTTACAGCGGCTTGTTAAGAAATTATTTTTAGATAGCAGGAAACAACATTGTTATGCTCAAGATCAAAAGTTCCTACTTGACATGCACCTTAGATGCTGCATTTTTATTACAGGCAGAGCACAGGCAACCACCATGTAACAAGACAACACACATCTCTACCAAAATGTTAGCTAACTCAACATTTTGCCCTAACCTTACTAAGGAGCATGGGATATGGCCTCTTAGGTGTGCCCCCAAATGTGTCCCCAGAGTGGGAGCCATGGGCTGTTCCACCATGAGATGGTTCAAGTTCAGTGCCCAGATGACCGCCCCTGAGCCTGAGTAGCAAGGATGTACTCCTGATGTTTGATATGCAAAAATGGGCTGTGTGTAAAATTTTAGTAGCTTACATTATAATGCCAGGCTAGAGATCCTTGATGCAAACCCTGTTTTGTTCATTCTTTGTTATTGTAAATAACCCCTTATGTAAATTCTGAATAGAAGCAGGAAAAGAAAGGATTAGCCATGTAGACTGTCCGAAAGTCAGTAACTGCGGTGTTATTTATGGTTTCCTTTCTGACGTGACTCACTCTGGAGAATGACTTTCTCCCAACCCACCCATGTGGAGAAGGGATAAAAAAAATCACTTATCCACCTGCCTCAAAAACAAAGGTTGTGGTGGAAGGATAATTAATCACTATCTACACTGTGTTTTGTTCTCTGAAAGATGTGTGAGGGCCCGATCTAAAGCCCACACAAATTGACAAAAAGGCTGCTAAGGATTTTGGTGGGCTTTAGGTCACACCTAATGGAAAATAAATTTATGTATTTGAAAATATAGCAAGTTTATACATTTGCTGTTAACACCACGAACAACCACAGCTACCCAAAATCCAGCCTGACACCCAGCTGACATTAAAACAGTCATAATATTAATTCTGCTCAGGGGCTCTACATGTCCAGGGAGTGCTAAGGAAGCACTGCAGACCATCACTCACATCTCCACCTCTGGTGCATCAACAGAGCAGCCCTTGGGGACAGACCCCAGCCCCGTGTCATGGCAGCACAGTGTTGGGCTGCAACTGGCCAGGAGTGCTGGCTGAACCTGTGCTGGCACAGCTGGGCTGCCCAGGTCCATTCTCCCAACCCAAGACAGCTGACAAGCTCTGGCCAACGCCGTGCTATCAACATACATACATACAAGTGTATGTTTTGTTACCTGCAGTGGGCTAGCTAGTGGCCGGTTCCTAGGTACAGCAAATGTTTTGTGGAAACTGCTCTCCTCTTCTGACACTGGCATCTTTAAAATTGAGCTGGTAAGAAGATTCTGAACAAGGAAGGAAAGAAAAAGAAAAAAATGTTTTCAGGTATTTAAGAAAACCACTTGAATTTGAATGTACTAAAAGCAAATTCAGCCTGACTGTGAAGCAAGCAATGGTGGGCACTGCCACAAATGCAGCACTCAGCCTTAAATTCCCAAGTACAAGAGAAACATCAATTTAGAATAATCTTGGTGAGGCACAGATCCATGCATAAGCCAGGCCTCCTTTGCACAAAACAAAGCAGAGCCTCTCATTCTTTTAACAGTTTTAACTCCTCAGTCCAGTCATTCCAATACACAGACGCAGTAGTTCTCCAAGAGCACACTCTATGCAGACTGCAAAGGCTGCGACTGCAACATCAGCTACCTTCTATAGGCATCATAGCAACCTAATTAAGAGCAGGATTTTGATTATTACGTGTTTAATACAGGAAAACAATACAGAAGTAATGAATAATGCTTACTTGTGAGGAAGGTCAAACAAAAAAAAATGCTCTCTTCCTTTTAAGAACTTTACAGATGTAAAACAAAATAATCATTTGGCAGTGTGAAAATATGCACTTACTGGCACATCTTCCATGGAAGATGCATGTGTAAAGAGCTGAGTGTTCAGGTTTTCTCCTTCCCAGTGGTTTGAGCAAAAAAAATTTCCAGCTTTATCTGTAGGAGACTCCACCTGAAAGCAGGAAAGGCACCGTGATAAAACCCAGCATCTAACTGACCAGAGAGAGATCAATCTGTCAGTTGTTTAACAAATTGAACAAATATTCTTCACAGCTGCACATAACACACATTTACAGTACTTTCTTTTACTGCAACCTTGCTCTTTGTTGAAAATGATGTTCAAGGTTCTCAAAAAAATCCCCTAATATAACTTTGAATACTTGCACTCAGTGTTCTGTCAGTATTCAAGAGTTTAATCCTCTAAAAAGGACAGAGAATATATGTATTTTTAGAATTTTAGTGACAAAGTGATATAATGCAGCATCCCCAAATGTTCAGGTTTCTAAATCACTCCATGTAGCTTGGTCCCCGTGGGGTTCTTCTATAGTCTTCACCAGTATTAGAAAGATTCAATCCAAATTCCTGTCTAATTTTTTTTCTTTTTAAGTTTCAAATGAAAACTACATTAGAACAGCCTAAGCAAACCCCTGCTGAAAACAGCAGAAAGACTTCTATGGAAATCAATGGGAGATGAATTAGACATGCCTAGTACACTATATAGAACTGACAGTAAGATCTTGGGGCTCACATGAAAGAAAAACAGACACAGCTCTTTAATAGAAAAGGTATTGGCCTAAGTTTCTCAGCAAAGAGGGCTGAATTAAATTGCCTCAAGTAAGTTTGCGATTTACCTCTTGTTTGATTTTCTTCAGCAAAGGGGGTCCACTTTCATGTAGCCCTGCCACTATCGCAGATTCCTCTGACTCCTGCTTGATAACGTCCTGCAGATCTTCTACAAGATGAGTCGGAGTTTGAGGCTGAAAGGAAGAAACGTTACACACGGGTCCCAGAACATCCCTCTACACTAATATCAAAGCAACTTTTATCATTGTTTCCTTCTTACCAGCATCTTCAAAGGACCATATTTGATTTCCTGAGCTGCAAGTGCGTTTTTGAATGGAGTGGGTGTTCTTGGAGAGCTCTCTAATATCGACCTCTTGATTGCAGGAGTTCTGAAACTTTAGAAAGAGGAAAAAAACTTTAAAGGAACTGGATGGAAATATTAACTCCTTACAAAAACACATGCATAAAAGCAATCATTGTGGTGAGATTTTGACAAATATTTTCCTTCAACCATATAATCTGTTTTGTTCTTCTGTGTCCTTCTGGAAGAACATCTATTTAACTTGAATAAGGTGGAATGGCTTTATTTAAAAAAAAAAATAACTGATGAGCCTATGTGCATGGTAACAGCCTTCCTCTGCAGTTACGCAGTGGAAGTCTTATTCCAAACTAAGAAAAATCTGAATGCATTAGCACATAACTCTGCAGGAAGCACACAGTTAGCCAGAATTTTGGGTGCATGCAAACCTGTAAAAAATGAACTCTCATGAACCTGGCAAGGCAGCGTGAGAAAAAAACTTACATATGATTTTCCTTCTGAGTTTTGAAAGTCTGGTCCCTGTGGAATGGGGTGGTAACAGCCACCTTATGGCCACACACCGGCGTGGAGGTTAGTGCAGGGTTGTCCAGGTTCAGATTTTCGTGACTGGGCGATGTGTTTAAGAACTGTAGACACGAAAAGAAAAAATCAGCAGGGCCACCTAGATTGCGATGCCGACTTCTTCAGTTGACTTTACTGAACAGAAGAAAAATAAATTGTTTCCTTCTCATTGCCATAAGTGACTCTCTTGTCCCTACCATATGGGTAGGTGTGTGTAGAGTACCTGACTATGTGTAAAAACAATATTCTGCAAACTATCTGGTTAGAGCATTCAGAAAGTAAGGACTAATGCTTCTACTGTGGGAAATCATAAACAAGATGACACTCCATTCCAAACAAAAACCATCTCTACCACTTAAACATCTGATGTGGATTTTTTGCAAATAGAGTGTAATTAATATCAAGAGCTTGAGAACAAGAGAAAATGAGTAGGGGATGTTTCATGAAGAAACCCTTTGGAAATGGGGTTTCTACAATTCCACAAATTTTTATTAGGGGAATCTAGATACTTCTGAAGCAGTAAATAAGGCAGATATGACAGGAAAATAAATTTCTTATTGTCTCTCTCAAAACAAAGTGCTCCATTTTCACAACATAAAATGAAATTTGCTGCCTACAACGGGTGTGTGTTTTCCGCTGACTGAAAAGGAGGTGGAGATAACAGTTTGAAGAAAATTGCTTTTCCATGAGTTCCTCTTGGCAGCCAAAAATATGGCTTCCATTTCTAATATCTATAAATCTATGAGTGTTGTGGTATCCTTCATTCAGACACTGATTCACCAGGTTACCTGCTGGACTTCACGTGTACCAGATTAGAAAAATACGGTATGTGTGAAAACATGGATTTTACTGGACAAGTGATATATGATTAAAATACCTAACACATAACTGGAGATATGGTGGGAGATCATTATCTTGCCATCTATATTCTTCATGAAAAAGTATTTATCTGACTTTAATGCCAAATCAAGGAAAAAACAACAGAAACAGACAAATGAAAACAAAACACTTTTAAATAGTGCTGCAGCTGTGAAACAAAGCAGCAATGCACAGGAATTTCAAAGTGCACACTGGACAATTGTAAGAGGTAGACCTTCTCCTCATTCCTATTCCACTCCGCCCCACAATTGGAATTTTCTGGTTGTTGCCAGTTTGTCTCACAGCCTGAATGCTATTTAAATGCAGTTTGGGGTTTTCTAGGTCAATGAATCATACTGTAAGTGGACAGTGATGGAAAGTATTACCAATGATCAGAAATGTTTAACTCTAGTAGCTGAAGGAGTTAACAGCGTGAGCAAAGCAAGCAATCACAATCCCCTACAAAATCAAACCAAATCAAAAAGAAAAACCCAAGCTCCACAGATGAATTTGAAAGAAGAAAATCAACAGTTAGCTTGCAGATGATCTACACTCAGTGGTGAAGACTAGGAATAGTGAGAAGATTCAAAAATTGAGTGAAATCAACGAGTGCAATGGTAATTAGTCATTTGTTCCAAAGGATTAGTTTCTAAATTGTTAACACTGCAGCGACTTTTGAGAATTAGTAACAGCTGCGCAGAAGTCTTGATCTACCTGCGAGGGAGAGAAGGGCAGGCTTTTGACAGGGGAGTGCTTAGAAGTTGAGCTGCTGCCATCAGCCAGTCCCAAGGTGCTACTGGGGCTACTGGCTAAGGGGCTGGCATGCCCTCTCCTTTTGCGAAGGACCAACGGAGTCGCACTGCCCTGCGAGGCAGACAAGGACTTTGGTGAGCCAGGAGGGCCCTGACTTGACATGGTTTTGCTCAGGTTTGAGGTGGGGCGTCCTGGAGGTCTACAAGCACTGGCCCCTCCATGTTGCTGCTGCACGGCTCTGCCTGAAGTAGTTTTGCCAGCCAGAATATCTGTGTCTTCAAAGAATTCAAAACTGCTGAGATCACCCCATGATGAAGGATCCTGAAACAATGTGGGAGGCACGGAGCCATAAGACAGTATATAGTGCCACCTCATGAAAATGCAGTGTTAGGATACAAAGACTTTCCCAATTCAGTTCTGCTTGACCGTGTTTATTTGTTTACTGATTCTCAAATCTCTTATTTGTGTTTTCGATCTATATGTCAAGCATATCGAGCTAGCACTCTATCAGTGTTGGTGAGGTCCTAAAGAAACAGTCAGTCAAATGATGTCCTTGCTATTGGCTAGTCCAGCATTTTCCGTGCAGAACAAAGACAAAAAATCGTTAGGAAAAAAAAGCATGTGCCTTAGACTCCCAGCCAAGATTGGTCTCCTCTGAGCCAGCACAACTGCTCTGGAGGTGCAGAAGGGGATTTGGCACTGCGTAAAGCCGACCCCTCCGCTGCTGAAGCAGAGTGCCACAAGCAAACATATTTCCCCTCATCATTCCTGTTACACACAGTAGCCGGGAGATCGCGATGGAAAAAGGACATGTGAGTGTCACTCAGCTACCTTGGAGTTAAAAACAGTGTTTCCAGTTCCTCACATATGCTAGGGCAAACCCTTTTTGTTCTACGAAGCAACAATTGATGCTACGACAGGAAATTTTTAAAAATGATGCAGATACATGATCAGCCACATGTAAACCTACAGCATGTGTCACTTCCAATCTAAAAAAGTATTATTTCACTGTTTAAAATCTTCCATGGTGTCTCTGCTTTTAGCTTAGGGAGATGCAACACAGTAAGAGGCTGTTTGAAACTCGTAATGTGTCATTCACTAATCACATTCCCATACCAAAATGTAGCAGGAAAGGGAGACATGCACAGAAAGCAAACGCTTCCACACTCAGGGGCTTCAATTACAAGCAGACATATGTTGTTATTTCAGAAGCTAAGCTTCGGATCTTGTAGCAATTAGAAGTTACTCAGAAAAAAAACCAAAAACCAACAATACTTTTAGGATGGTCCCAGTTCCTCTCCCCTTACTCCTTGACCACACACAAATGCACCTGAGGCGACAGTTCTACTTACGGAGTCTATTAACTGGAGTGTTTCTGCAAATTCTAAGAGATTCTTAACATTATCCAGGATGTTGCTCTGGTGAACAATCATGCACCGTGCAGGGGACGCACTTTCCTCAGGTAAGCAACCATGATCCACTGGCGGAGATGGAGTACAGTGGTGATGTTCCCCCAAACAGGAAACAGGTGCATTGTCACCACTGGTCCTGGTATTGTCAGCAACTGTGGTGCTATGCCAGCCGGGGTAGTTTGCTGTGTGGTTCTGTGTCTAAAGGAAGAAGCAAAAAAAAGGAAAGGGGGGGGGGGGGGAAGGCAGAAGGAACTTAGCAATGAAATTGCATAAGGCGTCAGATGCCACTGGAGGAAAGATAAAAGTAGTTGCATCATCATCTAAAAACTTATGCCTATGAAACAATTGTCAAGATGTTTCCTTTCATCAGTGCAAGACCTTGTTTTAAGTAATTTCAGCACTGTGTTAGTTATCCCAAAGTTACCTCATAATTCACTTCCAGGATTATGAATGTGTGTCATGACTAGTAGATTATCAATTTGTACTGCATTACTCCAAAAGTTCAACAAGTGTCTGCAAGTCATTTTCTGTGAGAAGCATGAAATGGCAGGGTTTCCCTAATGAGCACTCAGCACTGTAGAACACTAAAGAGTTTAGAGTTAGAGTTGCTTTTGTTTACTTATCTCCTTCTCTTCTTCTATCCCTGTCTAACACTACAGCTTACACCAATGCAATGAAGAGGCTGTCAAATCAACGTGGTTAGGAAAGCAGAAGAACATATTAACAGAAGTTTCTTTCCAGTGTGATCATGCAACAGAAGAAATTGCAAAACATTAACTAAAGTTAAAAAGTGGCCAAACTAACGTATCGTGCATGCAGTTGTTTTTACTATTAATTTAAATATTACCCCAAAAAAAACAAAACAAAACAAAATAAAGAATCTGCTGGCTATCACCTTTCTTCCAAAATGATTTGTGGACTCTTGGCTTTGGTGATGGTGTTAAGTAACTAAGTGAGGGTTTTCACATATGAACATTCAATGGCACATACAACAAAGTGTAAGAATTCAGTAATAGCCAGCATTTGTTCCACACATGCAGTTATGAAGGATCTACCATTATTTGGAGAAGTAAAACAAACTGTCAAACATGCACCAAGTCTGAAGCTTACAAAGTGTATAAAACACAGCTGAAGAAAAGAATACAACAGAGAAGAAAAATCTAACGTATAGGCACTACATTTTCATCACATGAACCATTGCACACTTTGAAAAACGCAGTTCCCATTGGTTTAAGATCTGTGGGATTTTTCATTTGAGTACAATCATCACATTTCCAACATTATGTAATGTTACAGAGCCCAGCCCTGCTCCCACTTTGCAAAGTAAAATACCTGCAAATCGAATTTTTTTTATCACAGAATTTACAAAGCAGATACAGAGTATGCATGTGCTATGTTTCATCCTTTTTAAAACAGAAATATAGAGCCTCGATTAGTATCAAAGGCAAAGGGGGAGTAAAAAGTTAAGAAGACAAGCACTGGGGTAATGCTGCTATCCCTCCATCCAAGCACACAGTGACAATCTTACTGGTAATGCCTGCTGCCCTTTCAGTTCATTCTCAGTCGACATTAGTAGCAACTCTAATTCCTTTATTCGTTTTTCTTTCTCAGGGTCTTCATCATTATAGTGTCTCTGAAATTAAGAGTTAAGGGAAAAGAAAAGATAAAGGTCTGATAGGATGTAGCAACTAAAATGCTCGTGGCTTGCCGTTCTGTGGTTATAATAGCCAAATTAGACTCAAAAGATGAAACAAATGTCAATCGTGTTTTCCACTATCAAAGTCCCTGCTGAATTTCAGTTCAGACATTTGAAATGGAGAAAGCAAAATCTATCATGCTAGAAGACAACTATTGTGTGTTAAATTCACTTCAGAAAAAACAATTATTAGCCAGGTCAGAACTCCCCCACCTTCCCCATTTTCTCTCTTCACACATATTACATTAAAATGTTTCCTTAATGTAAGACGTCTGCATTTTGACTTAGCAAAGGTTTAACAAATTGTCTCTCGAAATGATGTTCAAATTATCTACCTGAATAGCTGCAGCAGCTGGCTGAGGAACATTGACAATATTTACATGCAGTGCTACTGGATATGGGATCTGACCAGGGACCTAGGCCAAAAAGCAAAAGAGACTAAAAGTTATTACTTCTGGCATATCACCTGCCTACATTGTGAATCTGCTTTAAAAACACATTTGCTTTTGCAAGCTTAATATTATAAAGAAAAATTTACAAGCAAAACAAACAGCTTTTAGAACATGACAGTGAGTACTACAGAGGGAGAAAGAACATTTACAAATGGAGCATGTACCCTCCTGATGAAAAAAATAAATAATTTGTAGATGCATTTGTGAGATGTTTCTATCTCAAAAAAAACAAAAGATGCAATTTTTTATCATTTAAAACTATATTGTAAGCATTTAAAGCAGAGGCCTGTTTAATTATTAATTTCATTATTAATTGTTAATGGGAATGGAATCAGATTAAAACACTACTGTTTACTTGGTTCTGATAGGGAATCCATTCAGAGTATGGCCAAAATGAACCCAGAAGGTTTTGAGACAGAACACAGAGTTAATCAGATTTAACTCATTTTCAACATGTCTACATTCACCACTATAAAAAATAGCACTCAAAACATTTCCAGTAGTTACAAGATGCTAAATATGCTGAACCTGACTCCACCTGTATGTCAGCAGTGGATTTGAAGCAGGCATATACCCATCACTGCTCAAGTCCAAACCATCCTCACCTGACCCCAAACATAAATCAATTCTCCACGAATGGGAAAAAAACCCCAAAACTTTGTTTTACTGGAAATCAAACGAATTGCACCCACCCATCCCACAGAAGGAAACAAAACCGAAAAGCGCTTCCAGGAGCTTACGTTTTGTGGCTCAGCAATGTGATAGTAGGGGTAATCATTGCCCAGCGGGGCCTGGCCGGCCCCGGGGAGTGGGCCTGCGGGTGGGTTGTGGGCAAAGGCCATCAGGTGATTGCTCTTCTGGAAGCCGGTGGCTGCCGAGGGCAGCCCGGATTTGGAGGACTCCTGCAGGTAGCCCTCCTGCTCGACCTTCCGGCGCATGGTGGAATTCCAGTGGTTCTTGATAGCATTATCAGTCCTGCAACAGAAACGTGTACGCATGAGGGGTGTTATAAGTGAGGCTAATAGGCAGGAGGACGCTGTTAGCATTTGTTCGAACCCTGAGCAATGCTCTGACCTCCCCCTGGCCCTGGCCCTTACAAACGCTACCCTCGACCTCTCAGGAAAGATGCTCACTGTAAAAGGGAGGGAAAAAGACAACTGAGCTACTGTTGTTTATACGCTGCCTGAAGCATTTAAAGCATATAAGCCTGAAGTACTCAAACTGCAAGCAATAAATACCATCAGCTTCACCCCATTCCCATGAGGTGAGGTGACACTGAGCCCAACACTTCTCTGATGTTCCCCTGAAGACTACCAGCACCACCTTTGCAAGTCTTACTGTTTTATTGTGACTCACTACTGGAAAGAAAGGCTATGGAGCACAGCTGTCAAAAGACCAGCCTCCAAGCAACTTTCCAACTGACCACCTAGGCAATGAGAGCACTGTACTCTGCACACAAACCTGGTAAACAACACTGCTGTGATGGCTATTTGCCTCAGAAAAACTGAGGTTCAAACTCTCCGAATCATGGGCCAGAAAAAGTAAACTTAACAAATCTGTGAGATTGTATACAGTCAGCAACTGTTCCTCCACTTGAAAAAAGTCACCACCACATAATAAGGTTGAAATTAATATCAGTGATGTGTGGGGGCTACATAGAAACTTTCCAAGTGGTAACTGCTTTCTTGCCTTCTTCTGGAAGGTGGAAGCAGCTTATGGAATGCCCACTTGAAATGATATCACAATCTCAGGCATTGAAGATGCTTCAGCAAGAAACAGGAATAAAAATGGGAACAGAAAACCCTCCTCTGCTTACAGTAGTTGCTCAACACACTTTATGTTGAGTCACTTCTACTGTACAGTGAGTAAGACTCTGAATACCTAAAAGTATATGTAACTTGTGCATGTGCTTTCAATGAGATAAGTATTTCCAGGACTGCAGCCCAAGGAAGTCAGCTTCTCCAATTTTATATGAGGATTTATATGTGGATTATAGGTAAATACCTTCTGGATAATTCATGAGCAATGGCAAACGCTGAAGCAGCCTTCTCCTAAATCATTCTGAGCCAACATACTGGATTTCACTTTGCAAGTGCACTCTTGGCTGAATGTAAACTAAGTTCCACTTGCAAGTCTGACTGTTAAATTATTTTCAATTTTGTCAATTATTGAACATACATTCAGGAAACTTGTACAGTCTTGCTCTACTTACTGCTTTTTTTTGTCTATGGCAAACATTAAAAGCATGTAAAAATGTCATGCTGTTCCATGTACTGACCAAACAGCACAGTTTCCCACTGAGACAAAAGCACATTGATGTCATTGGCTTGCCAGGTTTTGATTCCAAAATTTTCTATTTATAATGCAAAGGCTGAAAAAGCCTGCTTGAACCTACAGCTTTTCCCTTTTTTCCTATTTAAGAGCTGAAGGCATATGTCATTACCGTCCAGGCAGCAACTTTGCAATTTCTGCCCATCTGTTTCCCAGTCTCTTGTGTGCCTGGTAAATAATTCTATCTTCCTCTTCTGTCCAGGAGGTTTTCTTCACTTCTGGATTCAGATGGTTGTGCCACCTCTCCCTGCACTGTTTTCCAATTCTTCCCTTCAAGTGCTTAGCAATGACCGACCAGCGCTTTGGACCATATTTCTGCACGAGTTCTATTACCTTCAAAGAAGGACATAAAAACTGCCTGTATTTAATGATGCATAATGAATCAATGAAAGTTTTACTGCAGCGGAGAAGTATTTTCAATGACATTTTTCAAAATCGCTATAGAAAAACTAACACAAAATTAAGGTTCCCTGTTTCCCCTTTACACTTTTACCCAAAAGAAAAAAATCTCGTAACAGTTATGGCATTTCTAGATTGCATTTCTACATTACAGCACTATAAAGCAAAATTAAATAGTTTGCATAGAAAACTTAGAAATACTTAAGCACTGATAAGGCAGTATCAGTCCTGCCTCAGGCAGTTACAACAGTTAACACCACTCAGCTCTCTGGAAATTTTGCCCCAACACATGAAATCTGTTATTAAGGTATTAATTAAATGGAAGGGAAAACTGATTACCCTTTGATCCTCCTCCTTAGTCCATGGACCTTTGATAAGTTCTGGGTTTAACACTTTCTGCCACCTGTGCTGGCACTGAACATCTGTCCGATTCTAATGAAATATAAAACACACAAGTAGATTATTCTTTGAAAAAGATGAATGTAGAGTGATGACTCTCTTATCTATGCGCCTCCAGCATATTTCACAGCCAACTATGATTACTAAGAGAAAAAGGAATCATACAATAGGTCAGAGAAGAAGGTGCCCAACTATCATTTGGTCAGTGCAACTGTTTCTGTAGTTTTTGCAGTTATGACTGTATACCCCAGACTACACAACCTCAATCATCATCCTCTGGCGCAATAGCTGTTGTGCTTCTGCTACAGCTGTAGCGTTCACAAAACAATTCTCTTTTAAACCACTTACCCAGAGTTCACCAAAGCTACTTTTTTTCTCTGCACTAAGACATTTTGTTTCAGCTTTACATTGACCTTTGATCATGCAACACTCCCTGGCCCCCATTTTAGTCTGTTTGATGTTCCCTGGCCCTCTCTAAGAAGTGAAAGAAAAATTAAGGCAAGGGCTTCACAGAGTTCTAACCAAACTTTTGAGGTCTCCAGATGTGGAGGTTTTATCTCCCGCAAAAAAGTAACTACAAAAACCACTCCCCTTTCCCTTACTTGGAAATCTCTGATAAAGAGTTGTCACTAGAATTGGAAACAGAAACTAGTGTCCACCTACAGGAAGGAAATTGGCAATGACTTTCCAGTCTTCTGTGCCATTCTGTTCCACAAGTTTCTTCAGTTTCTCATCCTGAATCATTAAAAATAAATAGATAAATAAAATAATTAATATCATGATCTCTTATGATGCAAATGAAAGGCACTCAAAATTAAGTTGCCCACTTCTAACTCTGTATGTATCTATTACTTTTGTTGGCTTGTGTCTTGAGAGTAAGAGGAGGTGGTCTGCAGTCTTCTTGTGTTTTTAATTGCCCAGATCCGGAGGTTTTTCTTCTTCCATGGATTTTGGTAGGCTCTTTACAGTGCTGTAGGAGAAAGGCTGATTTTTTCCATGCTCTCTGACTCCCATTTTACTGCTCCCAGCAGTGTAACTGTTACTCTGTTACTGGATTTACAGGAGCGCTTGGACATTTTTGATGCCAGGCATCACAGCAAACAATGACACTGAGGCACCCAGCTGTCTGGGGACCTCTGGAAATCACAGCCTTAAGCTTTGAATGTCTTGCAAGTAATGGGAGTTCCAGTAATTTGTTCATTGCTGGTCCGTTTACAATGAAAGCACAATAAAATGAGTGCTCCTGATGGCTGTGAGGGAGTTTTGCATGCTTGCAACAGCAAGAAACTCAGCCTACTATTTTTAATGATAAGGCCAGAAATATAGACCCTCGAGACAAAAAAGCAGCAGTATCATGTATTGGGAAAGATCAAGATAGGGGAACTCACAAGAACTGCCCCAGGAGATAGGAGGAGGGCAATGACCCCCATGGTACCTCCCTGGGCACTCCTGGTCCTCGTGACATGGAAGAGGCCACTGGGCCACGCAGCCATCACCACCACAGCCACTGCCATAACAGCAGGCTGTGGATTAAAAAATAAGTGCTTGCAAAAGGTGACCTGCCTCTGTTTATATATCAGTATACGTGGTCAGAGAGGAGAAAGTCAAAACATAACTCAATAACTGTATTAATGCATTTCATAATGAGAACAAACCAGTTCAATGGCCATGGGACATCCACCTGGCAAAGGAGTTTGATATCAGAATTTATCTGGAAAGTCAGCACAAGGGTACCATGACTAAGGCATTATTCTGACCTTCAGAGGCAAAACACATCTCAAATGCTCAATTTTGGTACGACTGGGTTTCTTTCTTCCAGCTTTTAATTTATTTCCTCTCCGAATCACAATGGTGCAATTAAAGTGCAAATTTCAAATGGCACAAAAGTACCAGCAGTTTCTGCCACAGTTGTTTGCTGCTGTGGGACACAGAGCACACATAGCAACTGCTCTCAAACACAAAGAGGCAGCGGGAAGCGCCCAGCACTGCCACAGGTGACTCTGCTTCTTCAACAGGGATTACAGAAGCTCAAATACCTGCAAGGCAGACCGTGGTGGACATTTAAAAGAAACCAACGATCCTCAACGTGAAGTAAAACGCTGCATGTAACTAATGGGTCAAAACCATCTTTATTCTCAGAGCTGTCACTGCTACACTCTCCTTCTGACTTCCCCCATGCAGGAGATGACCGAACTGGCAATTACCTCTTCACGGGTCCATCTGGTTTTCCCTAGGTGACGTTTCCCAGCCTTAGGAAGCAGGCCGTCGTAATCATGGTCGTACATCTCAACATCTTCTTCATCGTCATCGCTGCTGTATATGCTGCAGCAGGAAACACAGCAAGACACAGAGCGGAACGTGAGGACTGGAGCTACTTAATTACACAGCGCACAGAAAACACACAATCTTTACAAAGGTTACACAGATAAAAGTTTTAAAACTTGCACAACAAGATTTTGTTCTGCATTCTGTTGTTCTTGTATTCCGAACTGGTTCTGCTGTTTCTGGTATCCACAGATACAAGCAAAGGGCTGGCAGCCTCCTCGCTGCCATGCATGTTTGGACCTGCTCACACTATTAGATCGGTGGTGAATTACACATTTGGCAAACTTTCAGCCAATGGGGGTTTCGAATTAGAACACAATGTTTGGGACAATAAAGAGAACTGGAGGCTGTGTCCATTACACAAGTGCACGCTCACGATCTTTAACTCATGCCACAAGTTCTGAACAGTGTTCGTGGTTTGCTATGGCCAATAGGACAGGTAGCTGCATGGCTCCCAAACGAGATACATGAATACAAAAGGCTCACCCATAATGACCTTGTTCGAGCCCATGTTTATGGGTCCTGTGTGTGAAGACAGAAGTTTCTGTGATGAAGTGAAGCCAGTGAGTGGTAGCATAAATGTGGACAAGCATACAGAGTATCCTGCAACCAACCAATGAAGGATTGAGCCACTTTGCACTGCCCATTTTGCTAATTCAAGGCTTTATTACCTCTATTCCACTTCTAAATACCTCATATTGTTTTTGACACACTGCTGCTCACCTCCTTCATGACTAAGGGATTTCCCCAGAGGCTATCAGGGGTAAAAAGGGCTCTCACCACTCTCACAAACAGCACTTTTCCCCCAGTGAACCAGGACGGCTTTGCAAACAGGGCTGCCTTTCTGCTGGGAAACATTTTATTTCCAACTTCTGTGATAGGAACAGCACTTTTGACACTCTGGCAGAGACGAAACTACAGCGCTCAAACAGAAACAGTGTTATGTTATGAGACGAACAACTGCGCTCTATCTGATGGCACAGAGCTATGGGATGTTACAGGATGACTAAGGCAGTCAAATACAGTCATTTTGTAATAAGGCAATTCACTACACCCTAATTCCCAAGCATTGTTTATCCTGTTTTCCTGTTTTCGAGAGACCACGTTTTAAAACAAGCTTCAGCAAAGACGCAGACACCTCAAACGCGGGCTGTTGAGCACACACCCTTTAAAGCACGCGGGGTTAATCGCGCCTTCACAGTCTGCAGCCCTGCTTTCTGCCCCGCTCCACGCAGGACGCTCCCCATCGTCTGCTCCCATGTGTATGCCCAGCTGCCGCGGCGGCCACTCAGCGCCCGGGTCACGCACCGACAGCGCCGTCGGCTGCCGGGGCGGGCAGAGCTCGGGCGCTCATCTGCCACCAGAGCTGCTCGCGCGCAAAGGGAGCTCTGCGGCTCCCAGGAGTTTGGCAGAGGGAAGAAGCGCATCCCGCCCGCGCCGCGCTGCTCCCGGAGCACGCTAGGCAGCGCGGGTGGCTCGGCCGGACCTGGCTGACGGAGAGCCCAGCGCGTTCCCCGCGTCCTCCAGCGGCGGGAGAGCATCCCGCGCCCTCGGGATACTCGGAGCCCCCACAACTTTCACCGGCGCAGGGGCTGAAGACTGGAGTCAGAACAGTGCCGGGCTCTCTCTTAGAGCAACCGGCTAACGGCGGGGGAGGGGGGGGAGCAGAAGAGAAGGGGGAAAAAAAAAAAAAAAGAAAAAAGAAAAGAGAGGGTGGAGAGGAAATGACTCGCTGTTGCCGCTACCGCGATTGAAGGAATTCGGGCAGCAGCAGCCCCGCGGGCACAGCCCTCTCCCTCTCCCGCTCCGCGCCGCGCCGCGCCCCGCGGGGTTGGCGGCAGCCCGCGCTCCGCTCCCGCCGGCACGGCCGCTCCCGGCAGCGGCCGAGTCCCTGCGGGAGGCGCCCGCGAGGCGCCCGGCCCGGCAGCGGCAGGCGGGGTGATTCATAGCGGCACCCCGCGCTCCGCGCCACCCCGCGCTCGCTGCCACGCCGAAAGCCCCTTCTCCTCGGGAGCGGCCGCGCGGCCGCGAGCGCTGACGGACGGGGCCGGCAGACTGACGGGGAGAGGCAGAAGCGCGCCTCGCTCCGCTGTCACAGCGCAGCGGGAGGGGAGGGGAGAGGGGAGAATGCAAAGAGAAAGAGAAAAAAGCCTCCACGTGTCCGACCCGCCGTCCGCTGCTAATTAGACAACAACCCCGCGCCAAGCGCCCGCCCGGCAGCGCAGCGGCGAACGCGACCACGAGGTTCTTACTACCGCCCGCCCGCCCGTTCCGTCCCGTCCCGTCCGGCCTCGGCTCGGGCACGGTGACAGCTCCGCGGAGCGCACCCCACAGCCGCCCTCCGCCGTGCTTGCGGGCAGAGCCCAACCTCGCGGCGCGCAGCCGCACCCGTGGGGCAGAGCCGCGCTCCTGTGGGGAAGAGGCAGCGGCTGCGAAATAAAATGGGGAAATAAATTAAAAAAAAAAAAAAAAAAAAAAAAAAAAAAAAAAAAAAAAAGAAAGAAAGGGAAAAAAAGAAAAAAAAAAGAAAAAAGAATAAAAAGAAAAAGAAAAAGAAAAAAAGAAAAAGGAAAGAATAAGAAAAAGAGAGAGCCCAGCCCCACGCCCGCCGCCCACCTGCCGTCACGGCCCGCCGGCAATGAATGAATGAATGGGACGGGACGCGCTGCCCGTCGCCCCGACAGCTCCCGACAGGCAGCCCTGGACGGGTGGGCAGCGAGCTCTCGTCTCTGCGGAGCGCGGGGCAGCGCAGGGCGCCCGGTACGTCCCCTCGGGGCGAGGGACGCTGCGGAGCCGGGGCGATTCAGGTGCGGCGGGGGCGGCTGCACTGCCGCCCCGTTACGGGAGAGCTCTTCTCCCGCAGCCCCGCGTCCCGTGTGACAGCGCGGACCCCCCGCCCCGTTACCTGTGCCGGGGTCTCCGGGCCATCCTCGCGGCGGCCGCTGGGGGAGGAGGACGGGGAAGCCCGCGCCCGCCGCCGCGCCCTGCTGCCGGGCTGCGCCCAGGCGCTCCGCCGCCGCGCAGCGAAGTGCCGAGGAGCCGCGGGAGGAGGAGGAGGAAACAGGTTGAGATTAAAGAGTAAACTCTGTAAACAGAGATGCCATCAAACAAAGGGCTTTTGGACACTCCCCCTCCCGCCAAATCTGGCGCCCCTGTAGTGCGCAGGCGCCGAGTGGCGGCCCCGTGCCGCGGCGGCGGGGAGCAGGGCGGGCGAAGCGGGGCAGCGCGGGGCACGGCACTCGGCACCCCCTCTCGCCCCGCCGCAGTCCCCGGCGGGATGAAGGCTGGGAGGAAGCAGCCGTCGGGAGCGGGGAGTCAGACCCCCGGCCGAGGAGAACGACCGCGTTTCGGAGACCTCCGCCGGGCGCTCCGCGCCTCCCGCCCCCTCGGTGTCCCTCCCCGGGTGCACCTGCTGCGGGCTGAGCGGCCCCGGCACGGAGCGCGCTTTGCGTGCGTGTTGGGGTGTGGGGCGGCGGCGCGGTGCCGCGGGGATTTTGGCGATAGTTCCCCGCGGGGATGTGCCCGGGAGCCGTGGTGGGTGTCCGATCGGCACCAGAGAACACGTTTTTTTTTGCTACAGAAATGAGTCAGGACGTGAAAAAAGATGGCGAAACGCGCCGAGTTCCCAGGCTCCGCGCCGTACTTTGTAAAAACGGGGCCGCGAAGCACTCGCACCGCGCTCGCCCTTTCCTCAAAGGCTCCGAATCATCAATGAGCCCCGGCGGGGCGGGGCGGGACGGGGCGGAGCGGTGCCTCCCGCCGCGGGGCCGCGGGCGCTCCCGGGGGTGGCGGCGCCAACGCGCGGGGTCCCGGCGGGACGGGCCTGATGTCCCCTCGGGCGGTGCGGGACGGAGCCGGGCGAGGGCACAGCGCTGCAGCCCCCGGGGCCGCCCCGTCGGGGCGCTCCCAACTCTGCGGGGCCGCCGACTTACGGCTTAGGGGAGGGGGCTCGGCGGGCCGGCCCGTGTCCTGAGCTCCGCATGGACGTCGCTTCGTGGGGAGCGCGTTGTCCCCCAGAATCGTGCTCTGTTGTCCCGTTGTTGCTGCTTTTCACACCTCTGACGGGAGCTGCCTGCTCTCTCGGCTTCTGTTTGTCTAGCTCTAAACGAGTCTGCTGCATCTGAGCACTGGGCGCCGTACTAAGATGCCGCTTTCCTACAAGTAACGGGGATGATAACAGCAGTCCCGTTAAGGTCCAGTCCCGCATCCTCCGCTGTTAACGAGAGTCATCGGTACTGCCCTGCTCCGCGCTGCTCGGCACGCAGAGGCCCGCAGTACATCACAGTGCAGCTGTAAGAGTGGGCCGGGACAGCCGGGTCTGCTGCTCGGAGCAGGCTCTATTGATTTTGTGACCGAAATTGCACGTTTGAGGGAAATGGTGCAATTGCCCATAGCTTCCCACATAGGTACAACCTGAGCGGTGCGAGGTTATCCCTCCCTGCTGCTGCAGGAAGTGTCTTTCTGAGCTGATTTTTGTAAACGTTTCCACGTGAACTGAGACAAATCCAACATCATCCCCATTTGGATGCAAATTCGCTGAATAAATGCAAAGAATGTCTATTATTGCTCTCAAGAGAGCAGTTAGGATGCCCCGTTTTCTTCTGAAGGTTTTATGCAAGACCACATTTTTTCTTCACTGACTGAATAAAAACTTTTTTTCCCCCTTCCCACACACACTTAGTTTATAAATACATTTAGTTTATAAAAATACTTAAAATTGCAAATAAAACATATTTTGTCATGGTCAAAATGAAGAGGGAAATTGCACCATCACTCCAGGTTTGCAGATTGGTCTTCCCTGAGACCACATGTATTGAGCCCACTGAAATCAGGCAGACACATACATAGGCTCCACTGGTGCTGCTAAGTTTAGCTAAAAATGAGCCATGACCCTCCTTGTTTATTTTCTTTTCTGAGCGTGTGTAGCCTGAGGCAGTTAGGATGTAAAGGTTCTTTCTGGTAGACACTTGCCAAAGCCCCAAAGAACAAGAATCCCCCTTCCGCATGTGCTGTGTGCAGGGTATGTGCAGCAGCAGAGCTCTTGTGTTACCCCTCCAACTTCATAAATTAGTGATGTCTCTCAGCCTATTTATAGTAATTGCATCAACCAACAGAGTAATTGTAAGCAGTGCAACTGTGTGTACTGGGGATCTTTTACTTACACAAATTATATAAGTAATTTAATAGAGGTAATTATATAAGCAGTAAATACACATCGAGTTACCTGATTTCCTACACCTCTGCTGCAAACAAAAACCTCAACGTGGAGCTAAGAGCACAGTCAGAGCATTGTGCAAATCCCTGTTGAACATCAGCCCCAGGATGTGTTGTGTGCAGCCCCAGTGCCTCTCCACAGCAAACTGCTCCATGGGCCAGTGGGCTGAGCAGGGACAGCCAGGCAGAGCAGGAGCTCTACGGGAGGAGAGCAGTGAGCACTCACATCGGGGATCCCCAGGTGGATAGGTGAGGGCTGCAATTCATTTCAGGCTTTGGGAAATCCCAGGAGCTGCCTCTAGCTGTGTGTTATTCCTAGTTTTTCTACGTTTGCCACGTAACCTGCAAGTACTGTGGGATCAGTATCGTGCAGTGCATTCAATCACACACGTGGTTTTCTAACACGAGTGTTACAGATGCTCACCTTTCTTTCCCTCTGCTCCAAAGGCATCTTCAAGTGCCAGGAGCATTTTTATAAACACATTGGTCTGTGCTTTATGTTTACTTTCAGCATTTCTCTCAGCTTGTGCAGTGAAAAGCAGTAAGCAACTTTCACTTTTTTAGTTTCACTTTTAGACTGGAGTTACTGTAACGTTTCAACTGCAGTTGTGGTATTTTTACAATTGAAAATCAGATTTTGGGGAGATGTTGGAAGACAAATTAAAAAAAAAGTATGTTTCCTTTTAATGCAAACTTCCTAACAGTTTATCTTAAAAGAAATTAAGAAGATTGATTAAAAAGGCTGGGGAAAAGGCAGGTGACTGCCTCTGATTTAGCATAGATTGCATCAAGTGCTGGGTCCCTCAGAGGTGTCTGTTCAGCTCACAGGTAAGGGTAAGGGATGTCACCGGGAGTGCTGCATCCAAATACAGAGTTCTCAGTTGCTCAGGACAGACATGGATCTGTTGGAATGCATCCAGAGGAGGATGGACCACCAAAAATGACCCAAGGGATGGAAACATCTCCTATGAGGACAGGCTGAGATAGCTGAGGCTGTTCAGCTTGGAGAAGGCTCCAGGGAGATCTGAGAGCAGCCTTTCAGTATCCCAAGGGGTCTATATGAAAGAAGAGGACAGACTCTTTAGCAGGGTCTGTTGTGAAAGGGCAAGGGGAAATGGTTTCAAACTAAAGGAGGGGAGATTGAGACTGAATATAAGGAAGAAGTTTTTTACAGTAATGGTTGTGAGGCACTGAAACATGTTGTCCAGATAAGTGGTGGATGCCCCATGCATGGAGACACTCAAGGTCAGACTGGATGGGGTTCTGAGCAACCTGATCTATCTATAAATTGTCTCCGTACATTGCAGGGGGCTTTGGACCAAATGACACTTAAGAGTCCCTTCCAACTCAAATGATTTTCTAATTCTGTGATTGTATTTATGGCCAACCATGAGCATCAGTGTTTCTTTCCAGTAAGGTGCACTGGGAGCATGCACAATCTCAGCACCCCATAGTGGGAAGGGCACTGTCCCCAAGGACAGGAGGTAGTGTCACCACCTGCATTTGAAGATGAGTGTTGTGGTCACCTGCTCAGGGCCAAAATGCTGGTGAAGTGAGGGGGGGCCAGCAGGAGGCACGGTCCCTCTGCACCATCAAGTGGAAACAATCCCCCAGTCTACATGGAGTGCAGGGACATGCTCCCAGTCCCACTTTGCAGCATGTGCACATCTTCAGAGACAGGAGGAAGAACTCTTCTGACTACTGCTCCAGCAGTGGAGATGGCAGCACATGCCATTGGAGAGCCCACTGTATTTCTGCATGAGCCTTGGAGTGTACCTGAGCACCCACACTGTGAATCTGTGGTGTTCTGGAACAGTGTGAGTGCCAGGAAACAGTGATTAAGGCACTACCCTATTTCTTCATTCATTCTAAAGGGAAATTTGGTTTTAGCCTAGGTCACGTAGCAGTGAGAATCTGGTGATATGGTTAGAACAAATCAACAGAAATTTGGAATGAAAAAAATCAGCAGCAGCATATGAGCTCTATTTCCTTTCTGGTATAATACCTACAGTTTCTGACATCTAAGTCTTAGTTGAGTCTGTCAGTCTAAAAGAGAAGGGGAAACCAAGAGGGCTGCTGCCAGGAGAGACCTGTCGGATCAAGTAGTGTAGTATTAGAATGAAAGAAAGGGGCACAACTTGGTGAAACTGGGATCTGGAGTGAGGGAGCAAAGAGAAACCTTCCACGCTTCAGCAGAGGTTCTTTTTTTGTGGTAAACCCTCTTTGTTTGTGTACGGCTTGGAATGAGAGAAATGCCCCAGGCCTTTTAACTGCAAAAATAGAGCTCTATTTGAACGGAACATATGTTGTACAGAAGCTGTTACTCAATTTGTTCTGAAACAGCATAGTATAGTAGGTGCACAATGAGGCTTAGGGCCCAGCTCCTTGGGCAGTAGCAGCAGCACTGCAAAAGGAGCAGAGCAGGCTTGGTGCAGGGCAGCACCTCTCTGAAACCCAGCCACAGAACAATTTAAGTAGTTCATCCCTTGTAAAATGCAGTACTAGCAGTGGGAAGCACTTACGGTATGTAGAGCTCTGTCTTCCTAACCTGTTGCAGGTCACTTATATTCGAAGCAAGAATGAGCAGTGTGGTGGGATACTGACATCATCCCTTACCTGGAGCAGTGCATCCCTTCCACCCACTCTTGCCACACAGCAGACAATGTGCTTTCTTGCCTTTACCTTCTTGCTAGCAACAAGTATTTCAAAGGCAA